AAAACTCTGATCTATTTAAAGATTATAACAAATAAGTTAAGATGAATTTACCTTCTTAGCTCAATCTCTGGCTCCGGGGACCTGAATTAATACAGCTCTGCTCTACCTGCTTCATCTGCTCAGCTATCTTCAAGACTGGTAGAATGGCCATGCGGTCTTATATGTGCTGATGTACCGAGCCCCACCCACCCCATCCTCCCACACCCATACTCATATCTGTGCTATATCCTGCCTACTTTCCCATGCTTAGTATAAGCCCCAGATCAGCCAACCACCCTCATATCCCCAACTCTGCCTCAGCTTGTCATATAGACCTCTCTGGATTCCTGGATATGAACCCAACCTGGCAACCTCAATGCCATGCTGTGGCTATTGCTCCAACAGAAACTGAAACCCAGGCTCTGATCACAACTTTGTCTTCTGGATTCATAGCATCCCTATATGTCACTGGTCTGAAATTACAGAGTAATTTAGAAAACTCTATTACCCGGCTGTGAGGTTTTTCCCAACAGGTTGTACTCTTGGTTTCACTGGTGCTAACGCTCAGGGCCCACTGCGAAAAACACAAGGTTCATGGCTTCACTCATGCCCAACTCACCAAAGAGACTTTAAAGTCTTTAAATCACTCCAATGACCACTTTTAACCTCGTGGCATCTCTTCACATCTTTTGAAAGGACCTCTCCCTCCTTTTTTTCCTTCTCAAGATTTTAAAAGCCATTTAAACAGAATTTTAAATCAACTCCTTGAATCGTTTCCCAGCACTCAATGTAGGGAATGGATAGAGGAACACTGAAGAAATTAGGAGGGTTATGGTGGATCAGATAATGCGAGACTAGGAGTTGGCATCAGAGATGAAAGGACTGGGAAGTGGGTTAAGGAAATTAGGGCCGTGAGTCGGACAAAAGGCTAGGAGGAGGTTAGAACTGAGGATAAGGGAGTGAACCTGAGAAGTGGGCAGATGTAAAGGCTAAGCTGGTAATCAGAAGGATGGGTGTTTCGAGGAGTATGAAAGATCGACGGGTTTGATAGCAGGATGGTCGTCAGGCTAACATGACGGACACAAGTGCATGTGAGGGAAGAGGGGTTAGGGTTAGGGGAAACTTGGAAATGGACAGTCTCCGGCAACCCCCATTCCCCTCCCTGGGGCTCGGTGTCGGCGTCTACACTGCGAGAGGCGGCTGCATAAATAAGGGAGAGCGGGAGGCGCCTGGGCGTGTCGTAGGAGCCCGGTCGGCCGGGCGGGTGGGGCGGCACCACGTGGGGGTCCCGCCTGCATTCGGGCGAGGCACGGGCAGCGAAGGAAGCCGTGGGCCGAGCTCCGGGGGCGCGGGGTGCGGCTGACCGGGTGAGAAGGGCAAGTGGGTTTGGGTACCTGCAGGCGGGATCTGGGCCGGGAGCCAAGGGCTTAGGGCGAGGACGCCCGCGCCTTACCGGAGATGGGAAGCGAGGTCCTGGGGACCGAATGTGGGACGCGGCCACACACCGGGCCTCTCAGCAACGCCAGCAGCAACAGCAGAATCAAGGGCGAGGTCCGGGAGGGCCGCAGGCGCGGGAGGAGCCGCGCGACAGGGGCCGGCATTTTTGCCACCTTCTGGCCACCGGGGTGTGGCGCGCCCCGCAGCCTCCCTCGGCAGCTGAACAGCCACCAGCCTGGGCCGACTCGGTTCCCCTCTGTTCGGTTGGGCCTGCGGCTGCCGGTCACAAAGCAACCTGGCTCCACCCCTTCAAGAAGAGACCAATGATTGGGCTAATTTTCTCCTCCCAAAGGGTTGCGCGGAGGAGGCTGGACTAAGAGAAAAAACCCAACCCAGACAGAGGGAGAGCTCCAGACAGAGGGAGAGCTACACCCAGGGTCAGGTGGGAGGTCTACCTCCGAATTGGGCTGCACTTGTCATTTCCAGAAGGAAATGGCAACCCACTCCAGTATTCTTGCCTGGAGAATCCCATGGACAGAGGAGCCTGGTGGGCTACAGTCCACGGGGTTGCAAAGAGTCGGAAACGACTGAGCGACTTCACTTCACTTCTTGTCATTTCCAGGACCCCCAGTGACAGATTTGCAAGGGCTCTGCAACCTAGAAGAAATAGACAAATTCTTAGAAATGTACAATCTTCTAAAAGTAAACAGGAAGAAATAGAAAACATGAACAGATGAAATAGATCAGTAATGAAACTGAATCAGTAATAAAACAACTCCTACAAAACAAAAGTCTAGGACCAAATGGCTTCATGCTACCAAACATTTAGAGAAGAGTTAACAGAAGTTTAGGGCCAAATGGCTTCACAGGAGAATCTACCAAACATTTAGAGAAGAGTTAACACCTATGCTTTTCAAACTAGTTCAAAAAAATTTCAGAGGAAGCAATGCTTTCAAATTCATTCTACAAAGCAGGCATCACCCTGATACCAAAACCAGACAAAGATATCACCAAAAGATGAGAAAATTATAGGCCAATATCACTGATGAACATAGATGCAAAAATCATCAGTAAAATAATAGGAAACTGAATTCAACAATACATTAAAAGGCTCACATGCCATGATCAAGTGGGATTCAATCCTCACAACTTAATCAATGTGATATACCAAATTCACAAATTGAAGAATAAAAATCATATGATCATCTCAATAGATGCAGAAAAAGTTTTAACAAAAGTAAACATCTATTCATGATAAAAACTCATCAAAAATAATAAATTAAATAAATAAATAAATAAATAAATAATAAATTATTTTTTAAAACTCATCAAAATGAATATAGAGGGAATATATCTCAACATAATAAAGGCCATATATGATTAACCCACATCTATGTTTCAGTAAAGTTTCAGGATACAAAATTAATATACAGAAATCAGTTGCATTTCTATACACTAAGAACTATAATAAGTCCACTACATATGAACAAGTTCAGTTCCAGGAGCATGTTCATAAGTCCACTTTATTCATTCAGAAGACATACAGATGGGCAACAGAGACATCAAAAAATGCTCAAGATTATTAATATCAGGGAAATGCAAATTGAAATCACAGTGAGATGTCACCTCACATCTGTCACTATGGCTATTATCAAAAGGACAACAAATAACGTATTGGCAAGGGTGTGGAGAAAAGGGAAGCCTCAGACACTGATGGTGGGAATTTAAATTGGTACAGGCACTATGGAAACCAGTATGGAGATTCCTTGACAAATTATAAATAGAACTACCATAGGATTCAGGAATTCCACTCCTGCATATTTGTCCGAAGAAAATGAAAACACTAATTAGAAAAGATACATGCATCTCTATGTTCACTACAGCATTATTTACAATAGCCAAGATATGGAAGCAACCCAAGAGCCCATCAATAGATGAATGGATAAAGAAAATGTGATATACATATATATACAAATATATATGCACATATATGGGGTTTCCCAGGTGGCACTAGTGGTAAAGAACCTGCCTACCAATGCAGTAGATGTAAGAGACTTGGGTTTGATCCCTGGGTCAGGAAGATTCTCCCTGCAGGAAGGCATGGCCACCCACTCTAGTACTCTTGCCTGGAGAGTCCCATGGACATAGGAGCCTGGAGGGCTACAATCCATCGGGTTGCACAGAGTCAGACACAACTGAAGCGGTTTAGCACACACACACACAAGCATGCACGTATATACAACAGAATACTGCTCAACCATTAAATTAATGAAATCTTGCCACTTGCATCAACATGGTTGCACCTAGAGAGTGTTAGGCTAAGTGAAATGAGTCAGACAATCACAATTTATGATTTCACTTATATGTGGAACCTAAAATACAAAACAAATGAACAGCCAACCATAATGAAACAGAGTATAGATAGAAGAAACGGGGTTGCCAGAGGGTGGGGGGTGGGGAGAGGGGAGTATGGAAATGAAATAGGTGAGGGAGAGTAACAGGTACAAACTTCTAGCTGCAAAATAAATTAGTTACAGGTATGAAATGTACAGTGTGGAAATATAGTCAGTGACTATGTAATATCTTTGTACAGTGACAAAAATAACGATGCTTCATGATGTTCAGTTTGAAATGTATAGAAATACCAAATCACTATGTTGTCTAACAGGAACTAACACAATTTTAGAGGTCAATTATACTTCAAAAACACAGAAAAAAAAACTCACAGTAGAGAGATCAGATTTGTGGTTACCAGAGCCAGAGGCAAGTTGGGGTGGATGAAGGCAATCGAAAAGTACAAAATCCCAGTTATAAGTAAGTACTAGGGATATAATGTACAATGTAACTAACACTGCTGTATGTTATATATGGAAGTTGTTAGACTAAATCCTAAGAGGTCTCATCACAACAAAAAATGTATTTTAAAAAATTTTTTAATTGTGTATCTCTGTGAGATGATGGATATTTAGTAAATTTATTGTGGCAAGCCTTTCGTGATGTATATAAGTTAAAGCATTATGCTGTACACCTTCAACGTATACAGTACTGGATGTCAATCACATATCTCAATAAAGTTGGAAGAAAAAGAGTGACAGACTCAATGAGTGAACCCAGGAATAAGATTGGGATACCGCCGGAGTTTCATGGGGTAAGAGTGGGTTTGGCATAATATTCTCAACACAAATACGAAACTTTACCTAAGCGCCAAAGAAGGGCCGTTAACCCTGGTGCAGCCTTGAAGACCGCGATCCCAAAGAGCAGCCTCAAGTGGACCTGAGGAGGCGTCAGCAGTGAGCCGCCCGGCCTGAGGGGGGCGCCCTCCGAAGCGGTGGAGCACGCCGACGGCCGGAAGGGCCGGGCAGCCGGGTCTTTGCCTTCACGAAGTCGGGTTTCTTTGCAGGTGTGGGAACGGGGTAGAGGACCCAAAGCTGGGAGCAGCATTGCCGACAGCGCTTCGCAGAAAAGGCTTGGGCCGAGCTCGGGCCTGCCCTCACAGGGGTGTCGGCAGGCAGACTGGTCAGCTGCCAGGGAAGCCTGACGCCCGGAGGCCCAGGTCAGACGCGTGTCTGAAGCCGCCTGCCGCTCGCGGTTCTGACAGGGCGGGCAGAGCCCAGTCTCCTCCTCTGCCGACCCTCCCGCGCCTGGGGGCTAGGCGCCAGTCCGTCAGGCCGGGTAGGTGCCCTGCTGACAGCCCAAGACTCTGAGTGGGAAGGGGGGCAGGAAAATACATTAACTTCTTGTAAATCAATAGGAAACAGTGAAACCTTTGGGTCAAAGAAAAGGGGTTTGGTTTGGTTTGGTTTTTCTTACAAGGGTGGGGGAACGAAATCTGAGGGCCTACGAAAATGTTTTAAGTTTTTTTTCTTTTAAATGAGGGTTCACGAAAACAAAGGTGCCTAGGATCATGAAATTTTTAACGCAACCTAGTGGGAGGGAGAACCATTGACTCATAACACGTAAAGTGTCCAATATAGAAGTTACAGGCGCTTTTATAGTGGCTTATTAAAGGGTCCTAAGCTATTCAGACCTGAAGTTTGAGACCTAACGGATGAGTAGGGTTAAGGAGGGGACCACTCAAAAGAGAATATCCAGAGGCAGGATCCAGAGCAAGCGGCCAACCGCCTTGGGGAGGTGAAGGGGGCAGGCAAGGGCAAGGAAGGTGGAGCAGGGGAGGGGGTTGGCGGGTTGGCGCATGGCAGGAAGACAGAGAGTTGGGAGGAAGATGCCTGCAAAATTTCAGATCCAGGGTAGAGATGTCAGATTTTGTTCCAGGTGTATGTTGAAGCCATTGAGGGGTTTTTTGGTAAGGGAGTAACTTGATGGCTTTTGGTGGTTCAAGGCCCAGATTTAACCTGTTTACAGAGGAACATCAAAGAGTGGGCATTCTTGTCAAAAGTGGAAAATATAGGATCACAAATAGTCAGATGCTGCTTAGAACCATGCCCAGACGCATTAGATGCATTAATTTATCGTGTGTGATGATACAAGGAAGAAAGTGCCTTTTACTCCATTTAAAGAACAGTATTGGAATTGTACAGTCTAAAAATGACTGTGGGGTGGGATGATGAATTGGGAGATTGGGATTGACATATATACACTATCGATACTATGTATACAGTAGATAAATATTGAGAACCTGATGTGAAGAGCAGACTCAGATGCTGGGAAAGATTGAGGGCAGGAGGAGAAGGGGATGAGTCATGATGAGATGGTTGGATGGCACCACGGACTTAATGGACATGAGTTTGAGCAAACTCTGAGAGATAGTGGAGAACAGGGAAACCTGGTATACTGCAGTCCATGGGGTTGCAAAGAGTTGGACGCAACTGAACAACAGGAATCTAGCACACTTGATCTAGCACACAAAAGAGCGTGTCTGACTCTTTTGCAACCCCCATGGACTGTATTCCACCAGGCTCCTCTGTCCATGGGATTTCCCAGGCAAGAACATTAGAGTGGGTTGCCATTTCCTTCTCCAGGGAATCTTTTCAACCCAGGGATTAAACCTACACTCCTGCATTTGTTGTTCAGTCGCTCAGTTTGTCTGATTCTTTGCGACTGCATGGACTGCAGCACCCCAGGCTCTGCTCAAACTCAAATCCGATAAGTCGGTGATGCATCATCTCATCTTCTGTCAACCCTGTCTCCTCCTGCCCACAATCTTCCTCAGCATCAGGTCTTTTTCAATGAGTCAGCTCCTCACATCAGGTGGCCAAAGTATTGGAGCTTCAGTTTCAGCATCAGTCCTTCCAATGAATATTCAGGGTTGATTTCCTTGGCAGGTGGATTCTTGACCACTAAGCCACCTGGGAAGCCCATCTCTAAGAATAAAATTTAATAAAAGATGAGACCTTTGGGTAAAATTATGAAATTATAAAATCTGTAGATTCTTTTAGATTTTCTGTATGAACAATCAATCATACCATCTTGGCAAACAGTGACAGTTTTATTTCTTCAATTGTAGTGCCTTTTTTTTTTTAATGTGCCAAGTTTATTTGTCTTGCCTTACTGCTACCTTCACTACTGTGTTGACATGATGATAGCAGCCTCCTTGTCTTGGAAAACTTTCAGCATCAACATTAAGAACTGTATTTGCTTGTTTTTATAAACATTTTATCAGATTATTCCTATTGTCTAGTCCTAGTTTACTGAGATTGATTCTTTATCATGTATGAATGTTGTTTTGCTGCATCTATTGAGATGATCATATAATATTTCTTATTTAATCTTTTAATGTGATAAATTTCAGTGACTTTTTCTAATGTTATGTCAACCTTATGTTCTTGAGATAAACCCAGCTTGGTTATGATGTGTTATTCCTTTTATATATTGCTTTTTTCAATTTGCTTATATTTTGCTAAGGATTCTTACTTCTAAGTTCATGGATGAGATTGTCCTATAATTTTTTTCTTATAAAAAATTATCTGATTTTGGTATCAAATGTTATGCTAACCTACTAAAATGAGTGGTGTTCTCCTGTGCTCTGCAAGAATCTGTTTGAAATTCTTGATCTTTGAGAGTAATATGGAACTCATCAGTGGAATTATGTGGTCCTGTAATTTACTTCATAGGAACATATTTAACTACCAATTACATTTTTTCACTGGTTATAGACTATTTCTGTTTTTTAAATTTCTTTTTGATTTAGTGTCTGTTAAATATGGTTTCCTAGAAATTTGTCCATTTTATTAAACTTACTGGTATAAAGTTGTTCATTATATCCTTTTGTAACCTTTTCCATGTTTGAGTATTTGTAATGATGTTCCCTTCTCATTGCTGATGTTTGTTCCAAGTTTTCATTTGTTCTCCTTTCCAAATCTGAGCCCTGGGGATAAGTGTAAGTAGCCAGTAAATAAAAAAGGCAGGGTTGTTGCAGGTAGAGAAAACAGCGTGAGCAAATGCACTGAAGTTAATGGTATATTTGGTTTTATTTCAGTGAAAAGTTTGAGGTAAAGAATAGCCTCCAATAAGACTGAAGAGCAAGTCATAAAGGGTTTTGAATGAGTCTTGGAGGGTGAAAATGTAGTTATATTTTCATTTTTAAGAATTACTATGTACAAAACAAACACTTTGCTAAGCTCTGATATATAGAGTTGTTAATTTCTCTGTCCTTGGGAAGCTTGCAATACAGTGGGAGAAGCAGTCATAGAGACAAATTATACTATAGTACAATGCCAATAAAGAAACAAAGTTCATGAGGGCAGATAGCTTACTTTGAGGCTAAAGTTTGACTTTTTTGATTAGTTCCATTCAACGTTGCTAATCATCCTCAGCCTTACATTACAGGCAAACATCTAGATACCTTGGCAGCTGTTAAGATTAGAATAGCCTAGAGAAACTTGAGTCATCACCTGGTTTGCCTTCTTTCTAGGCTTAGTCCCCTAGATCTGTGTTCATTGTTTCAACCTTCAGTTTTATGAAAACCAGTGATTTGTCTTTTCTTTCTTACAGGTGTAGAGAATATCTCAGTGGTAGCTACAGTTCCACCTCTGGTCTGGCTGCCATGTATCATGGGCAAATAGCTAGTAAAAGGCCCTCTAATCCCACGCAGATGTACCAGCAACCTCCAAGGCTTCTCATTGTGCATATTGCTCTACCATCCTGGGCTGACGTCTGCTCCAACCTCTGTGAGGCTCTGCAGAACTTTTTCTCTCTAGCCTGCAGCTTGATGGGCCCCAGCCGCATCCCTCTCTTCAGCTTATACATTGTACAAAATCAGCACGAGTGCATCCTCCCTTTTGTGGTAAGTATATCTATACTTGTTTATTTTATCCTGAAAGCAGAGGTGAGAGTTCTGGAACAGAGATCAGTTATTATTACTTACAGCAATAACTGCCCATTCCCCATACCCATAACCCACAGGCAACACAATGAGAGCCTCATGTCATCCTATACACAGGGGATTTGTACTGAAGGAAAAGAACTCCAAAATTATTAGTGAAAGTGAAGTCGCTCAGTCATGTCCGACTCTTTGCGACCCCATGGACTGTAGCCTACCAGGCTCCTCAGTCCATGGGATTTTCCAGGCAAGAACACTAGAGTGGGTTGCCATTTCCTTCTCCAGGGGATCTTCCCGACCCAGGGATTGAACCTGGGTCTCCCGCATTGTAGGCAGACGCTTTACCATCTGAGCCACCAGGGAATCCCCCAAAATTATTAATATGAGTGTAAATAAGCCACCTCTTGCCCCCCACCTCCACTCCTGAGAGAGAGAAACCTTGGCATTTATAGTCCTTTGGAATGTAAGCAACTGACCTCTCTCATCCCCCTTTGAAATGTAAACACAAGGAAATAAATCTCTGAATTTCTTCAGAAGTCTCTGGCTACTCTACCACCCTTTAATTTTCAAAACTTGTCCTTTGACCCAGGTTCTAGTTTTTTGCTCAGGAAGCCCCATCAGTGCAGAAACATGAAAATATTGTTTACAAAGGACTCAGGTGAAACGCCCCCTAGTTTCAGAATGGGCTAAAGGCAATGCTTTTACCAAGCTCCCTCACACTTAGATAACCCTTTTCCTCCTCAAACAACCGCAATTTTTTACTTCCTCCCCTTTACAAAGCTCAGAGTCTTAGGGATGGAAAAGACTTCAGAGGTTCTAGTAAATCTCCTTCCTGAGACAGCCTTGCTGTTGGGATACTCTGAAAAGACCCAGTGGAAAGCCGGGACTTTGATTCCTACCTAGTGTGAATAAGACTTCTTCCCACATAGTGTCCATGAAGCCATATGGTAGCCTGGACTCCCCTCAACCTATTCGACTTTAACAGGGTAACAATCTCACCCCCTCCCTGCTGAGACGATATTGGAGGCAGCGGAGTGGAGGCCGTGTGGAGAGTGGCAGTGAGGCATCTTTTTACTTCCAAGGCAGAGTGGTGCCAGTGAAAGCCGAGTGGGAAGCCGGAAGTTACAGGACTGTCTTCCTAGTGAAGTGTGTAATGGTAATGAAGCTTCTCTATGCCCAGGGTGTCAGTGGGGGACATATGAAGAACCTGAGCTTCCACCCCCACCCAGAGATAACCGAACACTCTCCCTTCTGGGATATAATTAGAGACCAAATAGAGTCACAACCAACCTGGCAATAATTATGTGGAAACCACTTCCTTCACTGGTGCAGTGACAAAAAAGTCCTGCTAAAACAGAAGATTTAAATAGGATTCATTCTTACAGCATAATACCCAAAGTGTCCAGAATACAATTAAAAAAAAAAATCCCATGATTATCAGGGAACAGGAAAATCCAAACTTAAATGAGACAACAAACATTGAGATAACACAGATGTTAGAATTATCTGAAAAGGATTTCAAAGCAGCCATCATAAAAATGTTTCAACAAGCACTTATGAATATGCTTAAATGGAAAAATATAAAGTCTCACCAAAGAAATAGAAATAAAAAGAAAAACCAGGTAAAAATTTTAGAACTGAAAAATGCAATACTCAATTTTAAAAACAAAAATCTACTATAGATAGGCTCAAATGAAGAAGACAAAGGAACTTGAAAACAGAATAGAAATTACCCAATCTGAATAACAGAGAGAAAAGAAACTTAAAAAAAATTTACAAAGCCTCAGGGATCTGTGAGACTATAACAAAAAGCTAATATATCATCACAGTCCAAGAGGAAAGGGAAAGGAGGGTGGGACTAGAAAAATATTTGAAGAAGTAATCACTGAAAATTTCCCAAATTTGGCAAGAGTTACAAATCTAAAGATTCAAGAGGCTGCAGAAATCCATTCTAAGACACATAATTAAAATCCTTAAAACAAAGACAAAGAAAAATTCTTGAGAGCAGGACACTGACAGCTTACCTATAAGGGAGAAACAATTCAAATAGATTTTTTTCATTAGAAACCATGAAGGCCAGAGGAAGTGTCACATTTTTCAAATGCTGAAAGAAAAGAAGAACTGCTAATGTAGAACTATATCCAGTAAAAATATCCTTAAGGAATGATTCAGAAATCAAGATATTCTCAGATGAAGGAAAGCTAAGAGTTTGTCACCAGCAGACTTAACCTTAACAGAATTACTTAAGGGAGTTCTTGAAACAAAAAGGAAATTATAAAGGCTCTTGGAATATCCAGAAGGAAGAAAAAGTAGAAAGAATTAAAATATAGATAAATATAATAGATTTTCTATAGATTCTTCTAAATTATATTTGATAATTGAAAGAAAAGTTATAGCATTGTCTGATATGGTTGTTAGTGTATATAGAAGAACTACTTAGGATAATTACATTATAAACGGGAGGATAAAAGGACTTAAGAAAATTAAGGTTCTTACACTTCATTCAAAATGATAAAATATTGACAATAGTATACTGTGATAAAGATGTATGTATAATGTAACAGTTAAAACAACCACTTAAAAAAACCAGGAGATGCTAGAGATGCGGATTTGATTGCTAGGTTGGGAAGATCCCCTGGAGTAGAAAGTGGCAGTCCCTCTCCAGTATTCTTACCTGGAAAATTCCAAGGATAGAGGAACCTGGTGGGCTACAGTCCATGGGGCTGAACAAGTCAGACATGACTGAGCAATTGAGCGTGCGCGCGCACACACACACACACAGTGATAAAAGAGTCACAGAACAAGAATAAATAATCCTAAAATTGATAGGGAATCCAAAGGCCCAGGATTGTCAAAGCAGTCCTGAGGAAAAAGAACAAAACTGGAGGCATAACCACCCCACTCCCCCAGCCAGGACTTCAGACAATATTACAAAACTACAGGAATCAAAACAGCATGGGGCTTCCTGGAGGTCCAGTGGTTAAGACTCCACGCTCCCACTGGAGGGGGCGTGGGAAGATCCCACATGCCACGTGGTGTAGACCAAAAGCATGGCACTGGCACAGAAACAGACATATGGATTGCTGCTGCTGCTGCTAAGTCACATCAGTCGTGTCCGACTCTGCGCAACCCCACAGACGGCAGCCCACCAGGCTCCTGAGTCCCTGGGATTCTCCAGGCAAGAACACTGGAGTGGGTTGCCATTTCCTTCTCCAATACATGTATATGGATTAATGGAACAGAATAGAGAGCTAAGAAATAAGCCCACACACCTGCAGGCAATTAATCTTTAACAAAGGAAGCAAGAAGATACAATGAAGCAAAGACTGTGTCTTCAGCAAGTGGTTTTGGAAAAGCTGGACAGCCAGGTTTAAACCAATGAAGTTAGAACACTCCTTCATACCATATATAAAAATAAACTAAAAATAGCTTAAAGACTTAAATATGAAGCATGCAGCATAAAACTCCTAGAAGAAAACATAGGCAAAACATTCTCTGAAGTAAATTGCAGCCATGTTTTCTTAGGTCAGTCTCCCAAAGCAAAAGAAATAAGGGCAAAAACAAAGGAGACCTAATCAAACTAGGAAACCATAAACGAAATGAAAAGACAACCTACAAAATGGGAGAAACTGGAAATTATGTGACTGACAAGGGCTTAATGTCCAAAGTATACAAACAGCTCTATAACAAACATTTCTTTAAAAAAAATGAAAAATGGGCAAAAGACCTAAATAGACATTTCTCCAAAGAAGGCATATAAATGACGAAGAAGTACAGGGAAAGATGCTTGATAATGCTAATTATTAGAGAAATGCAAATACTAATGACTGCAGTGAGGTATCACCTCACACCAGTCAGAATGGCCATCATCAAAAAATCTACAAGTAATAAATGCCTGAGAGGTTGTGGAGAAGAAGGAACCCTCCTACACTTTGGTGGGAATGTAAATTGGTGCAGCCACTATAGAGAACAGTATGCAGGTTCTTTAAAAAACTAAAAGTAGTTACCATATGATTCAGAAATCCTGCTACTGTACAGCTAGGGAACTATGTTCAATATCTCATTCACTTTGCTATACACCTGAATCTAACACAACACTGTATATCAACTATAATTTTTTTTTAATTTCCAAAAGAAAAAAAAGTCAATCCAGCAAGAAGACAACAATCTTTTTTTTTTCATACTTGTTTATTTTTGGCTTCATTGCTGCTCATGGACGTTCCCTAGTTGCAGCAAGCAGGGACTGCACTCTAGTTGCAGCGCACAGGCTTCTCATTGTGGAGCCTTCTCTTGTGGAGCGCAGACTTGAGGCTCACAGGTCTCAGTAGTTGTGGCTCACAGGCTCTAGAATGAGGGCTCAGTACGGGCTTGGTTACCCGACGGCAGGCAGAATCTTCCCGGATCAGGGATCAAACCTATGTTCCTGGCATTGGCAGGCAGACTCTTGACAGTTGGACCGCCAGGAAAGTCCACGAAGATAGCAATCTTAAACGTGTACCCACTAAACAACAGAGCTGCAAATGTCTATTAACTCGTGAATGACTAAACAAACTGTAAAATTCTCACTCCATAAAACTGGAGTTTCGTACAAGCACACTGAGGACAGAGTGAAGGTGACAGTGATGTTTACAGCCATATGACCCGTGTGACAAGTGTGTTCTTCGGCTGTGCCATTTTCCTTGTGAATGTCTGTCCCATGACCACACTTGGCTGTTATATCTATCTTCTGTTGGGCAACAGGGGTAGAGAAAGGTTGAGAGTGGTCTGGAAGGGCAGATAGAAAACATCCAGCATAGGAAGCTTCTGGGAGATGAGCTTATGTCCCAAACAAAGGTAAAAGGATTTTTATTTCCTTCTAGTGACTATGTTCTGTGCCTCTGGTACTCAGTACATTTGTCTCTAGGTGTATCCCTTGATCCCTTAATCACTCTGTTAGGAAAGACAGACAGTTCTAGACTAAAAAC